GCCATTTTAAGATCTATCTGACGATATATAAGCTGCTGCATAGAACCTGCATAAGAAATAATATAGAGTGTATGGTAACAACATGAATAACATGTTTGTTATACAGTATATATTTTGAATATATGAGAGGAGCAAATCTTATCACCCTCCCTTCCTCTGCCGCAGTGAAGGTGTGGTTTGCAGTATAGCACAGTTGTTTGCAATGGGATAAAGAATAGGAACAGGCCTAGGGGGCAGTGGATACACTGCTACATGAATCCACATGCTTAGAGGGCAGTTAGGTAGCCAAGGGGATTAATATGGCCCTGAGGCTACAGTGGCTACCACATAGCAGATCCTTTGTGGGGACGATTCCTTCTACCCCAATTCGCAGTGGAATTCCCCTGTGCACAGCGCATGTGCTAAGGTTGTAGGCAGGTTCTAAGATTTTTCTCAAAGTGTTTTAAACATGCACAGAATAATTGTACAATACATAATGTTTCAGCTGTATAACGCTGAGCGCTAACTGATGTCTGGATTCAAAAAACAAACAAGTGGGCCCAGTCCTTGCATCTGGTCACACTGTGTTTGGTGCAGGACCTGAGCAGGGGGCAAAAGTGTCTGTAAGACACCATGCTGCCCCGGTCATGGGGTTAATTGGAGGCTGGGCTGGTCCACAGTGCAGCTTTCAGGTCTGCTCTAAGATATACCCAGCTGCAGCTCCCAGCAGTTTGTTTTGTAGCCAAGGAGTGTTGGAGTACAGGAGAATTCTGGCTATGTCAAGAGGAATTGGAATAAGCAGCTCTGTGCCACTAGAAGATTCTGCTATGCATGGTGGCTCCTCAGCTGGTCAGTTAGGCTAGTTAAGTCTGCTTTATGTTGTTGATAGAGGCTGAAGAACCTACAGTTGCAGGGGCATCCCAGTTTGGGATGGGGAGAGAGGCACTAGGGAAGCAGAGAGAATTCTGGACACACTAGATCTGTTCTTCAGTCTTCCGTGATATTAGATGAGAGTCTAGCACCCCTAAATGCCTCATAGTCTGGGGAGAACAAGCAGAAAGGCTGTTTCTGTCCCAGAGGGGCCTACTATTGAGTTGTCTGAGCAGTTATTGTTTTTTAGCTGGAGACTAGTTATTCCATGCAACAGCAATAGGGGACACCTGAATCTCTAGCCCTCCTTTCCCACTCCCTCCTCTGTATATATCACACAGCAGGGAAGAGAAAGAGCTGGCTGATCCCCCAGGTCCTGCCTTCTCCCGTGACCCCACACCCACATTAGCCAGGAGAAGATGATGGAGGGGGAGAAAGTATATCCTTAGGAGGCATACTCACACTTGGGTGGGCCTTACTGGCCTGTGAAAAGAGGAATCAGCACATTGAGTGGGTGCTGTGGAGGTGAGACTGGGTGCTGGAAGCATGTCTGGGGGAGACTGGGTGCTGGGAGTGGGATTAACAGTAGTGTAATTGAGATCAGAGTCTGACCCAGCAATAGAGATTAAAAATGACATGAAGCTCCAGTGCTGTAGTTATAAATCCTACTTAATGTTTATTTTCTGCAGATAGTTTATTTTTATTATAGATAGAAAAAAATCATTTTAAGAGGCTAAAGAAAGAGAAGCAGCCACTGAGCTGGTGTATGCTCCTGTTGTTGAAATCCTGTATCTCAGTGCAATTCTTCCTGGTCTCTTACTGGCATTGCAGGAGTTCCTCTCCAGTTTTTCTAGATGAGTAGATAATACAGATGACATGATTTATCATGTCAGTGCATACTTAGAGAGTCCTTAATCTGCAGATTATTGTCATTATTATTTGTAATGTATTTTCTGAGCCATTGCAGACTATCATATCAACGGGAGTTTGCATCCTAATACATGTGATATATTTATGCTTCCCATATGGTATTGAGAATGCACAATAAATAAGAAAACTAGAATCCTTGTGACATATGTAATACAGCCTTGCTGAGTGTACAAAAGCCACTTTTTATCACAATATCTCATTTTATCATAAACCCTTAATCTAAGATCCATACATATTAGAAACAACAGCCTGCACATTTTGTGTTTTTATTCACTTATTCTATAATGTAGCACTAAAAAAAAAAAAAAGCTTTCACTCCCAGTCCTTGATGCCTTTTCCATGCAAAACATTTTTGTAGCCAAATTCTCTCTCTGACAAATGGAGTTTCAGTGTTCAGTGGGAATTCTGACAAACTCTTCACAATAGTTGCATTACTACAGCAGGCAGTGCTATAGATAGATAGATATCTAAATTCCATACTAATATAATTTTGTGCTAATGCATGCAATATGGACCAAATCAAGCCCTGGCTGATTCAGCAACGCTGCCTGCTGCCTTCTCTTCCATGGGAATCCTGTTGGCAAGGGATAGGATTCCACAGCTTACTTGGCTGCTTTTCTGGGGCCCAATCCAATTTTCATTAAAATCAGTGGAAAGAATATTGTATGCATCCCGTTATCTGTGGCCAGTATTTTCTGCTGAACCAGCCTGGGGTCTTGACATGTCCCTAGTTCTCAGAACTTGTTCTTCTGGAGACATAATGCATTATCAGGTGGGCCTCCTAGTGCACACTGTGTGTGCTGTGGATGGATCCTAACTGGCCTCATCCATCAGAGGGAGGAAAAGCTCTCTATACTATACTCTTAACTCCTGTGCCTCCTCATCATATGGGATGTTAGCCCTTTCTGGTACACCACAATTTAGGGGAGATAGGGAAATCCAGTAGTTATGAAAATTGAGACTGATGGGACAGCTACTGTTTATTACAGTACTTGAAAGTATTTCTCAAATGCTGCAATTCTGTCACTGCTGTAGCGACAATTGAGCAATGTGTGACTGTTGTTAAATGCACTTTCTACATTTCATATTGTCGGGCAGTGTCTTTGTTCTGTGCCATTTAATTTCCAGAATTACAAAGTAATCATGCATAGATTTTATTAATATTAGTTCTTCACATGTGTGTTTCCATTGTGAATATATATTCACATACAGTAGAACACTCCTTATTGTCAATAAAATGTATTTCATATACTTTTAAAAAATAATGATAGAAATCTCTAAAACTCACTGGACAGTGTATTTCTGTCTTTTAGGGTTGATCATTATCATGTAGTAAAGTTAGTGTGTCTTGGAGGATTGAAGAATCAGGTCTTGGCTCTGGGAATAAATGTTTGCAATATACATATTTCTAGAGTAGGATGGTGAGTGTCCCTAACTTATAGCAACTTAACTTCCTTAAATCAGCTCCATCCATTAACTTAAATGGAAGCACTTGCACAAATAAGACAAGCAGAGGTTGGAGCAGTATTGTGGAAAAATTAAAGCATTCAAATTTGTCGCCAAATACAAAGGGCCAAGACAGTTAGGGATCGTAAGGCTCTCTGAATTACAGCTAACTCCTGGTCTGCCATTTATTCTGAACAGAACTTAAATTGATGATTTAGCTTAGAGAAATAAATTAAGAAATGTCAAGGAAAAAATTATATGATTACATCTGAGAAAAAGTTTCAAGCAAGAACTATTTATCTTAATGGTTCTAAGATGTTTACTACAGTGTGTATAGCACAGCACCTTTACATTTGTGTGTTAAATACTTTGAGGTAATAATTAGTTTTATGAAACTGTTGTAAAATATTTTTTAGTCAGTACAATCTATATGCATTTTGGGATGATATTTATTAGATGTTGGTGAAAAAAGACTCCTTTCATTTATTGTATATAAAATGATAATACTTATTTTTTGATTATTTAATTATATCTTTGTTATGGGGGAAAGTACCACTGAAGTATTTAGTGCATATACAGTATATATGCTATGCTGGTCCATCTCCTGTGGGTTTGTTTTGGTTATAACAAATAAGAAGGTTTAATATGACTGAAAATGCTTTATTTTTCTTTTCGATTTTCCTGGAAGCCATGACATTATTATTTGTAACAGGCGTAATGTCATGTGGCACTGAAAAAGTCTTTAACTTTACTCTGAATTGCTTAAGGCAAATACAGTATGTTCCATCCTAGTATTCAGTGCATAAGACAGATTATTTAAATATTGTAAGCAGGGTACAGGTCAAGGAATAATCAAATCAATTTGTGAAAACTCTGTAAATCTCAGAAGATGTCATCATCTTATTTAAGGAAGGTGTTTCTAAATGAAAACAACTAGTGCTGGGCAAATGAGTGTGTAATAGAATTAAAACAATTGTCCCAAAAAAGGGAACAAGTTTAGACTGACTTGTTCAATTAGTCATATAACCTCAAGGCTCCTATCTACTCTATAAAAGATAAATGGTAGTTTAAACCGAATTTTACAACGTGGGTTTAAGACATTTTGCTCAGAGAGTGTGGACCAGTCAAAAGCAAAGTGATGCCATTTTAGAATACTATTTTCAAGTCTAAATAACGTGTTTTTCAAAATGGGAATCTCACACATTTGTCTGGTCCACACTGACCAAATCATGGACCTGATTTTCTAAAATGTGTTCATGTCAAAAATCCACATATGGAATGTCTAATTTGTACATGGAATTACCACATTTGGACGCACAGCTTAGGAAATTGAAGGCTGTTTGTGTATGCCATCATGGTAAATACATGCACAAATTAGGTGTGAAATTGTATGTGCAGTTTTAGAAAATCACATTCAAAGGGTCTTTAGTTTAAACTCATCATGTGCTGAGCCTATTTTTAAAAACAAGTTCAGCGAACACAGATTTATGTCATATAGCTAGGGTCTGAATTACAAATTGACCATACAGTTCTGCTGTTATCCTAGATGTATACATGCAAGAGCTGGATACATAATGAAAACATAAAGAATATTCTGTTTGGAAATATCGTGTCGTTTGTGGAATAAATTATTCAAGGAATGTTATTTGATCTGTTGTATTAATTATGCATTACTCTCATATTGTTAACAACACTCAAAAACTCAGTGCAATAATGCATACTTAAAATATGAACAATATTTGAAATTAACGGCTTATGATTCTTGTATTCAATAGGACGGGTTGACACCTCTCCACTGTGGAGCAAGAAGTGGGCACGAACAGGTTGTGAAAATGCTGCTTGATCGTGGGGCCCCCATTCTATCCAAAACCAAGGTAAATGGTATTGTGCACCTGTTGACTAGAATAATCTCTGAAGGTTCTCTGAATGTAATTATGTATATCTTAGATAGATTAAGTCTCTTGTGATAAAGGTACAGCTTCATCATAACTATTTAAAGTAACGGTGTTGGAGACCCTCCAAACTGAGTGTAGTTTGTAGTGTGCTTATGTGCATGTATCAGACAGTATGTGTTGTTCGTGGACATTTAATTGAGATAGTTTTGTATATGGGAAAAAGATTCCTTCTGAGCAAAAGGAGCAATATGGTATATACTGGTCCTCAGAATTCAGATAACTAGAAAACATTTGCTTCCATGGGACTGTTCTATACTGCACACATACAGACTATATCTTTAACTTGTTCCAAAGGTACCGCAGGGGTAAAAGATAAAAATGTAGTAATGTCTCTTTGCAGAGGTAGCTGTACTTTGCGGAGCTGTTGGTTCATTACCAAGTTCTTCCATTTCCTATCTCTACACTTTGTCAGAGCAAATCAAATACATTTCTATCCTTCCATAAGGCTGTTTGTGGAAATTTAAAATCATCTTCATTGGAGTGGGCAGCCTACTTCAAATGCAGGGGTTCCCATTAAAAAGTTAGCATTTGCCAACCCTTGTCATACAGTGGCAACTCAAGCACCAAAGTTACCTCTGATTTTAAGTCAAGGCATAGTAACTGATTTTTTAATGACACCACTGTATGTCTCCTCCTCCTTTTGGGGAGCGAGAGAGAGAGAGAGAGAGACTTTTGTCTCCTCCTTTTAGAGCAGATATACTTGGGTGGAAAAATCTGTCATGAAAAATCCTGTTGTACGAGTGCAGCTTGTTGGAGCCCCTCTCACAGGATCCCTTATACACAAACATTTCTCCCTACATGCCATGCCCCAGCACATTTCCTGCTTCTGTCTTCTCCTAACCTGTCCTATTCTCTCTCCCTCCTCTTTTACTTGCCTGTAGTGATTTTGGGGTTTCCTTGATTTTTATTTTTAATCTTTTATGTTTTTTCTTGTTGACCTGTTTTGTTTCCGGTGGGATATATTTGTCACATGGCCTGGACTAGGGTGTGGTGTCACATTTTGTCTGCTCTCCAAGGCAATTGCACATGTGCTAGGATGGCTAATCTGATGTCAGCAGAGGAGAGGTCCTGCACATCCTCTACATGTGGAATTTTTATTGACTCCCAAAGCCCTAGGCTTCCAGCCCTATACATAGGAGTCCCTCCCATTGCTAGTTACAGTAGGGACTGCTGCATGATAAGGTAGGAACACAGCCAGCTTTCAAGGAGCCCTCTCCAGCTTTACCTGGAACACCTTTATATTGGGGGAAGGCCATGTAGCTTTCCTTACACACACTTTTCTCCTCTACCGAGGGCCTCTTCTCAGGATTAGTTTGACCCACCTTTCAGGGGCTCTTCCCAATCACTAGTGGTTCTGTGATTTGTTTAATGCAAACACCTGTTATACCTGCATTGCTTTATTTTTTCATCATAATAATACAGTGACTCACTTCTTTGTGGTATAAATTGCCATTGCTTGTCATTATCCTGAAATTCAACTAGCTTTTTGAATACTAGTTCAGTAGTTCTTTAATCTTTTCCTCTTTCCAGGGTGTCCTTCAAACTTAAAATAGTGGTTTCAAAAGATGAGAACCACAAACCTTCCCTAAACCTCATTATCTTGTATCAAATAAAACATATCAGAAAAATCAGAGGCTATGTTGCTGGATTTAAAGTAATATAGCTGCATACTGCAGACGCTGGCCTAAAAAGTGTTTAAATAACTGTATTCAGCAATGTGGCACCTAACACTACAATACTAGACAAGCCCTAGACTAACTAAGCTACATATTAAAAAACAAGTAGCTGAAAGCCCATGCTGTCACACGTGTGTAACTCATAAAGTCATGTGTGTAAACAAGCCAAAAATGGCTGAGAACTTTAAAACTGAACAGTAATAGGCCATGAATCACAGTGATGATTGAATCTGATGATATTCTAAACAAAAAGAATTCTCAACCATGCTTGTAGTTGTTTCTGTCACTTCACACTGACTCAACAGACATTCTTGACTTCAGAGTGATGTTTGGGGGTTTTGTGTGTGGTGGTAATGTTGTTGTTGTTGTGTGGGTGGTTGTGTTGATTTGTGTGTAGGGGGAGTTGTTTTGACAGTTTTGTGTTAATTTGCATGGGTGATGAATGATGGGGGTATGCGGGTGTGAGGGGCTGTGTATATTTGGGGTTACTGTATATGCTGGTTGTGTTATGTGGGTGGTTTTGTTGATTTGTGTCAAGGGAGGTTGTGCTGGGAGATTTGTGTTGATTTGTGTGGGTGGCCATTAGGCGCATGGATGTGCCAGTTGGCCCAAGTAATCCACCATATGTGGAGTTTCCCTTATACAAATAATTCAGTTGTGACATGAAAATTATCTGTAGAGTAAGGGTGGTGATTTGTTGAGTTACCTCTAATATCACAATAGTCTAGGACTCTTGGCATGGCATAGATAAATGCCTTACTGTAGCTGTATACCATAGGTGTAATTTGTAAAGTCAAAATGGCTGAGAACTTAAAAATTAGAAAGTAACAGACTGTGAAACCATATGATGATTCAATCTGGTGATATTCTTAACAAAAAGAGCTGTTTCCATCACTTCACACCAACTCTACAGACATGCAGTGACAATCCTGAAATCTTATTATATAGAGGCACATAAGAAAAAGTGAAGAAAAAAATAGAAGTTCTGCTGCTTGGGCTTTCTCTCTGATATGTTAATTTTGACAGAACTTGTGAGGTAAACTGAGAGGCAGAATACCACTGAATGACATTCCGTTGGCACTGAACTACAGTATTGTCCTCTGGAAAAAATACTGGGCTCAGTTCTCTTCTAATCAAGTCAGAACTTCCTCGAAACAGGACAAATCTTTTGGAAAGAATTTTAACTTTTACAGCTTTCAGATGGCTCACAGAACTCTTTCAGAACAACAAAAAAGCCTTAAGGCGGATCCATTAAAAGTTATTATTATTTCCTAGTAAAGATTGTTGAGTACATTGTAGGCCCTTTTCACATGATTACATCCTTAATTTTATTCATGTGGGAGGCACAATGACCTAATGGACAGGACATGGGACGAGAAGTCAAGAGACCTCAAATCAAGTCCTGACTTTGCTGATGACTTGTTGTGTGAGACAGCGGGCAGGTGACTTTGCCTCTGTATACCTGTTTCCATGTTTTTTTTAAAAATGAAGTTAATGAAACTCCCCCTACCCTTTGTAAAGCAATTTGACAGCTACAGATGAAGGATGAGCTATGTAAGAGCTGCATGTCATTATTTTAACTGACTCTAAAAGCCATTTGTCTTTGCCACTCAGTGGTTTGCTATAATATTTTGATCTCTCTGGTCTTTTGCTACTTTTCTTCTCAAACATCATATGACCACAACCTCTTAGTTTCTGTTTCTCCTCCTAGATTTCAACTGAACTCTTTGGCCCTGTATGTTCTCCTTGGCAGTAGGACCCCAAAATGCTCTTTACAAACATCAGTGAATTATGCCCTACAATGTGGCTGTGGTAGAGAAGCATTTACAAGTGGAGAGATATGGGCACAGAAATGTTAAATGGCTTGCCTGGGATCACATAGCATATCTATACTGCAATAGAACCAGGAATAAAACATGTTCCCATTTGTGTGCTTTAACTACAAGATCATCATCCATCATCCCTCTGGGTGTCTACTGCTGAGATTCTTTATTATCCAGTCCCAACCCCTGGTCTGTGCTGTTCCTTCTGGATATCTGCTGCATTTCTCTGGTTCTCAGACCTTTTCTCCAGATTCTCACCAACTCTTCCACTTAGATGTGTTCCTTGGCCATCTCTGCTCCTATTTGATAATCCACCCTACCCTCCCTCAGCTTCTGCTCCTCATATCTGTATGCTGTATTCCTTCATCTTCTGCTGACCCCTTCCCACATCATTCTGTGTTGTGATGGCCACAACACTCCCTCCTCCATAGCTGCCTCTGAGACTTGGAATTCCTTCTGTGTATTCCAAGTTATCCCCATCCTATTAAGTTATACAAGGACAATTTATTCACTCTTGTTGTTAAGATAATAAACAACAAGAAGAAGCTGCTCATTTCGCTATTTAACTGTGTTGAACCCTCTTAGTGACTTTTACTGTAAACAAATAGCTTAGGGGAATTCTTTACACCAGCCGTTCTCAGCTGTGGCCCAGAAAGCTTAATCACGTTGCACTAACTCTACATTAAATATTTTCCAAATACCAGTTTTCCATGTAAACAATTCCTGCTGAGGTGTGGCATGACACTGGGAGAAGCGCCCACAAAATAGTCTTACTTTTAAGATTCGGTCCAGTCTGAGAAACCCTGCTTTTATACATTAAATATAGTTTAAAATGATGTCACTCAGCTAGCCTGTTTGCTTTCACTTTCTTCTACATTGCTTTTAAAAACATGTTTACTTTGCATTTCCTCCTTTATTTATACCTTTTGTCATTCCTATTATTGTACGGTCATGTTTTTTAAAAAGGGGGGAAAAGCAGTCCTCAGCTTCAGAAAGTCTATAAACAGCCATTGAGTAGTTACACTGGTGCTTTGCTTATGCTAACCATGGTCACATGGGGGCACTCCATCTGTAAAAAAGAGTTTTGATTTCTTCATGGTAATAAAGATGGTGTATTTTAGATCTAAAAATCATATTTCACCCATTGGTATTAGAGTATCACCAACGTTACTTTTCATTGTAGTAGCAGCAACTGAACTGGAATCAGTTTTTGTAAAAATATAATTTAATACTGATTAAAACTTTGCCAAAGATTTTTGACTTTGGATTGATCAATCTAAATCATTAAATAAATCAAAGTGAAGAAGGTGATTTTAGGTACATTATCTGATTAAGGTGCCGCGATGCATTCATCCAAAAACGTCTATTTTGCTTCTGTCTATTTTTTCTTGTTTTAATCCTCACACCATGAAATGGAATTAGTAATTCAGAATTCTATCTGAGTTATTTCTTTGTATGGTTTGCGTGTGTATATATAAAAGTACACTGGTGCTTCCGTTTTGTGAGCAGTATAAAACATATTTTCATCACAACTGTTGTTCATAAAGATGAATGTCCAACAGGTTTCTCCATAGAAAACATGGCTTTTCAATGCTTTTCACTCAGCCAAATCCTGAGTTTTTACTTAGGGCGGGTCTGCACTAGAAACTTTTGAAGTTTTAGTAATGACCATTAGGGATGGCGGTTTATGACATTTCTATATTGTTAAAAGCCGAGTGTAGGTACAGTTATATACTGCCTTAAAAGTGCTTTGGCCAATACAGTGTATTTCACTGAGGGAACCTGTATAAGCTGTATCTACTCTAGGAGGGGTTGCTGATAGATGTTCGCTGGTATAGCTATGTTGGCAAACGTTTGCTAGTGTACACCTGATCTTAGCCTTTACTCAGGCAAACTCAAAGTTCCATGGGAATTTTGCCTGAGTAAAGACCTCAGAAGTTGACCCAGTGCACTTAGTTTCTATATAATGCAGTGTGGGATTTCTCATAACAAAGGAGCTTGTAAAGCTTGAAATGTCTGTCCATTTCAATTTGTTTCTTTTTATTTACAGAATGGTTTGTCTCCATTGCACATGGCAACACAAGGAGATCATTTAAACTGTGTTCAGCTTCTGATTCAGCACAGCGTGCCTGTTGATGATGTCACTAATGACTATCTGACTGCACTGCATGTTGCTGCCCACTGTGGCCACTTCAAAGTTGCCAAGGTTCTCTTGGATGAGAAAGCTAATCCTAATGCCAAAGCACTGGTGAGTATGCAGTGGATTACTAGTCACAGCTAAACAGTTTTCTAAAGTTGCAGTGCCTAATATTTGAGAGTTATTTTCTGTTCGTTGAAAGTTTACAGGGCCTGACATTCAGTGAGGCTAATGCTGTATTTGTAGAGTTCAAGAAATGTTACTGTAGCTCTAATTTGATATTAACATTTTTTCTTGTGCAGTCTGTGTATGGATAGTTAATAGTGATTTACGTAATTTCTAGTGTAACCAGAGCCCTTTTGCATTTTGATATTTATTGTGATTCTCTAATTCTGAGTAGAATGAGTGACTGCAATCTTAACTGCTGCCGTTGTCAGCATGAGAGAAATTCTGATTTTCTAAAGATTTGCAAGGAGGAAATGAATAAGTGACATTTAAAATAAAGAGGATATTAGAGTACAAAAAGTTCTGAAATTTGCAAAACAAGAATAAGTAATATAACAAATATCCACAGTATTCTTAAGGAGTTTCATCTTTATACTCACTTTTGTACATTAAAAAAACAAACAAACTGCCTTTTAATACAAATAAACTGTTTCCAAATGTGTGTATATATTGTTTTAAGGTGTTCTCATGGCTCACTTTGTAAAAAAAAATATGTCTGTATAAATATACCTTTAATAATCATCCTAAACAAATTTGAATTCTTACAGTAATTGTACTGTACTTTGGTGCAGTTCTGGGCTCAGGTCAATACTGTTAGGCTGTTGATTTCATAAGTACTACATGAGTTCTGTACAGAACTACGAACCTCTATAAAATCAGGGTCGGTTTGGTTCCTTTTTTACAATTGGCCTGATTTACAAGGCTCCTTGCTCTCTCAGCCACCCTCTTCCATATATACCCCTCATCTTATCTTCATTGTCTTTGGGGGAAGGCTATTGTGCTGTGTCTGTCCCTCTGGTGAGTGCAGAATGCTGCTTGGCTTCTAGTCCTGTAATATTTATTTTGGCTGCATTCTGAAATTATTGAAGTCTCATTAAATATGTCAGAATGTCTTGGTTGCTGGATGGCAGCCAATCACTGGTCTGGATCAGACAGCCATAAATCTCCTTATTCCCCAATTCATTCACGCATAGGGTCAGAATCTCTATTCCAGCTAAGGCACAAGAATTGGGGAGGGAGTAAAAATGATTTTCAATTGAACCTCCTATATTCTGGGCCTCAGAGCAACCTCAGAGCTGTTCTAAGTTGTCTTGTCCTATAGCAGCTTCCTAAGGACCATTATACTAATAAAAATAACCAGAATGCAATGGACTCTGATCAAGTTGCTTCTTCTGCTGATACTTTCATGATGTGCCTTCTATGCTGGGGACCTCAAAAGACAGGGGGCAACACAGAGCTGTTTTGATAGTTCTGTGCCACCCAAAGAGCCCCCTTACATCCAGATATTCCTGGTGTCCAGCTTTGTCCCAATTAGGCTTCATTTTGCCCATATTCCAGTTCTTTAGTACTAGTTTCTCCTGGTCATTATCCTATATTAATGGGCCCAGATAAATGGAGGCTCTGTTAAAACTTAAGTGGAACATACACTTGCACTGACTGAATGCGATGAAGGCATGTGTTGTACCTAGTGTTATTGTAGCCATGTTGGTCCCAGAGTATTAGAGAGACAAGGTACTTGAGGTAATATCTTTTATTGGACCAACTTCTGTTGGTGAGAGAGACAAGAGCTCTGTGTAGCTTGAAAGCTTGTCTCTCTCACCAACAGAAGTTGGTCCAGTAAAAGATGTGACCTCATACACCTTGTGTGTCTATGAAAGCATATGGCATTCTATACTCCTGTAGCTAATATAGTTAATTTTCATCAGATCTGAGGCCCAATTCAGTAAGCTGTTTTTAAAACTTCTCTGTGGAAGCTCTTTTGATATGTATGTATCAATATTGAAGATACTATTGTAAGTAGCACTTTGCCAGTCTTGGATATTCTGGATAGCTTGTTTTCTTGTTTCACTTGGTTTCTTTCCTGTTTTTACCATTTCATCACAAATAAGGTGTAGTTTTAAATGTGCACTATACAGTTTGTAGAAATATTTTTCTTTAGAATATATTTGTGTTAGTAATATATTTCACGTGAGAAAGTGATCTTATTAAAATTAAGTTAATTGACACAAAAATAGTGAAAGAAAAAATAGTGACAAAAATAATTAAGTAAAACAAACTTTAGTAATGGCATAGGTGGTATATGAAAGTATTTCCTTTCTCATTAACAGAATGGTTTCACACCTCTTCACATTGCTTGCAAGAAGAACAGAATTAAGGTTATGGAACTTCTCCTGAAACATGGTGCATCTATCCAAGCTGTAACTGAGGTAAGAAGCATTGTTTGCATGTATGACTTGGTTTCTAGTGCCAATGCAGCACTGTTCAATTACATGATACATGTGCATTGATTAACGAATATACACTATTAAAAGTAAAAAATGATTTTCAGCTAGAGAGGAACAGATTAACAAATGCAAATAGAAATATACTCAGTTGCACTATCGGATCAGAACACCTACATAATGAATTTATTTTAAAATACAAAGGTGATATCTCATCAGAAGAAATGGGGCAGATTTTTAGAAAGGATCTCCATATTTCTGCATGCAGTTTTGTACACAAGGGGTGAAATTCACCCTTGTGCAGCGGGTCAAAACAAACCTTATTTTGAAGGGTTATGTGTCGGGCCCTACCAAATTCACGGTCCATTTTGGTCAATTTCATGGTCACGGGATTTTAAAAATCATAAATTTCATGATTTCAGCTATTTAAATCTGAAATTTCACAGGTTTGTAATTGTAGGGATCCTTATGCAAAGAAGCTGGGGAGAGGGGGTGTCACAAGGTTATTGTGGTGGTGGGGGGTTTGCGATGCTGCTACTCTTACTTCTGTGCTACTGCTGGTGGCGGCTCTGCCTTCAGAGCTGGGCAGCTGGAGAGCCGGCAGCTGCTGGCCAGGAGCCCAGCTCTGAAAGTAGAGCCACCGCCAGCAGCAGCGCAGGAGTAAGGAGGGCCTGGTATGGTATTGTCAACCTTAGTGCTGCGCTGCTGCCTGCAGAGCTGGGCCCTCGGTCAGCAGCGCCACTCTCCAGCCACCCAGCTCTGAAGGCAGCGCAGACGTAAGGGTGGCAATACCGTGACCCCCCCTAAAACAACCTTGTGACTCCCCTGCAACTCCCTTTTGGGTCAGGATCCCCAGTATAAGAAATGTTGGTCTCCACCGTGAAATCTGTATAGTATAGGGTAAAAACACACAAAAGACCAGATTTCACGGGAGGAGACCAGATTTCATGGTCCGTGACGTGTTTTTCATGGCCATGAATTTGGTAGGGCCCTAGTTATGTGGTTCATAGGCCTTGTGCTAGCACTGCATAGAGATGAAATTCATCCACAGTAATTCGTGATTACAACTCAAATAGACATCAGTCTGTTATTACTTAGGGCTGCATATAGAATCATAGAATATCAGGATTGGAAGGGACCTCAGGAGGTCATCTAGTCCAACCCCCTGCTCAAAGCAGGACCAATCCCCAATTTTTGCCCCAAATCCCCAAATGGCCCCCTCAAGGATTGAACTCACAACCCTGGGTTTAGCAGGCTAATGCTCAAACCACTGAGCTATCCCTCCCCCCCAATATGATTGTGCACACACAATTGCTGGCAAAAATTTTGAGGCCGAATGAAATCACATTGGAAATTTGGTCCTATTTGTGTGCAGAGCCCTATCAAGTTAAGAATAACGGTCACTTGTATAGAGGTGAGATAACTATACAAGGAGTCGAGTTAGAAAAAGGATTAGCTGTTCCATTGAGGAAATTAAACAAGCTACACCTGGGAACAGTTTACCTCTCAGAGCTTTGAAGTATGAATTTGTTTCCATTTTCTAAATTATTCAATGGAAAATCAACCAGTACTTTACCTAAATCACAGGGTGATAACTGGAGCACTTTTCTGCATGAGGATATACTTTCTTGAATAAGGTTCTAAGTAGTGCTTCTTTAAAGGAAGCAGACATATTGGTCTTCCTTAGGGAGGCTTTAAGCAATGGCCCTCACTGGTTTGTACTTGCCAAAGGGGACATGAATCTGACTTTCAGGTCATAGCTTGAATCCCCATCAGTACATGAATGAGAAGCACAGACTGAAACTTAAGCAAAAGAGACACTGTGTTTCTTCTCCTTACTTGTGGCTTTCTAACCGTGAAAATAGGCAGTTTGTAGAACTGTGTGATTAACTGATTTTCCATTTCACTGGCAGTTCAGAAAAATAGGGAGGGAAATTTGGTTCAGGGCAAACTACTAACCAATTTTATTTTTTTCTTAGGCATAGTAAAAAAAATAGTAAAAGTTTCATTTTGAGTCAAATAAAACATTTTATTTGGGGGATTTTTTCACCTTTCTAATAAAAGCAAAAGAAATGAAGGGCTAGGAACTAAAAAACGGCCAAACAACAAGAACAAAAAACCCAGCAACCACAACAAGGAGGAAGTGGCGGTGCCCAACTTATACTCAACAGCACAGTGGTTACGGTACTCCCTTGAGATGTGGAAGACCCGTGTTCAGATTCCCTCTCTGAAACAGGGGCTTGAACCCAGGTATCCACCTTCCCAGGTGAGTGCTCTAACAGCCAGCCTGTGGTGCATTCTAGCGTGGGTCTCTCTCAGACTGCGAAGCTGTTCCAGTTTGTATAAAATACTTGAATAATTGTTGGGTGAGAGAGAAAGAAAGAATGACTCTATAGCCTGGTGTTAGTGCACTCAACTTGGAGGAGAAAAACCTGGATTCTGATCCTGCTCCAATGGCTATTTAATTATTTATACAAAATGGAACAGCTTCTGAAGGGAAGACTGAGAGAAATCTGCCCCAAAATATCCTAGAGCCTGGTGGTAGGGCACCCGGTTCAAGTCCCTGCTTCAGAGTGAGGATTGGAACTGAATCTCTCACCTCCCAGGTGAGTGTCCTGATATCGGGGCATTGGATATAAGAAGGGGAGGCATTTGCTGCCTCCTTCTCCTCCTGGGTTTTTTGTGAATGGCACCTAAATCCCTTTGTGAATGTGGCCTGAAAAAAGGAAATGTTTAATTTTCAATAATGTTGAACCAGTTCATTTTGAAACTTCCCAGAATATTTCTTTTTTTTTATTTCAAAACAATTTTCTGAAATTGACATGAATTCACGCAATGTTTGGGTTGACCCAGCTAAGAATCTTTTAGCCAAAAATGTAGCTCAGCTGTAGTAATTGGTCTGAATCTAGATGATCTTATCCACAAAGGACTAGAAAATACAGCATAAAATGCTCAACTCCATTAGCTGGTAAAGACAGCCCAGATTAACAAGTTTATCCACAATCCAGAAACAGTTCTTCCAACAGAATTGCAGGTGTTCTGGTGGAAGAACACTTCCTTGATGTCCTGCACAACCACAACATGGATTTTAAAAACACATTATACTGCACTGGGTCAGGTTTGGCATGGGACTTTCACCACTCGTGGTCTGTCTTCCCCTCTGTCATGAGCCATTAGTATATCATGGTGACCTGTGATGGTGAAGCAGCAAAAGAGGATATTTTGGAGCCACTACATTTGCAGTTATAAGCAAAGGTGATTTAATCTCTTACATGGCTATCAATACATTGGCCAGACAGCTGCACAGTGATCTTCCCTGGAGAAATCTGAAACCAACAGGTTCTGTCCTTTTGTCAAGAGCAGGAGGACAGAAAAATTTGGTCCCAAATGTGACTTCTCTTATGTCATCATTATTGTACAACTGTTTATTAATATGGTTATTTGTTGCGGATTCCATACCTTTGTATAGATCCTCCATATTGTTCCCCTCCTCCCCTTCCTTGCCTTTTTTGCACATGGGTTAATTTTTGTGATGAAATTTGATAGATTTATTTTTCTGATTAAAAAAAACAACAACCTTTAAAACTTATTTCCTGTAAAGTGTTATAAAAGAAGGTAGATAGTAAATAATACAGCTAGTTAGAGCAGTGGTTCTCAACCGATTTACCACCGTGGGCCACATATGGGGTCCACAAAATGTTAGCTGGGCTGCAGGTTGAGAACCACTTTGCCCCCCACCTAACCCCCCGCCCCAAATCCCTCTGCTCAGTGCCCTCTGCCGAGAGACCCCTCCCCAGAGTGGAGCCAGGAGCAGAGAGCTGGGCGTGGGGCAGGGACCCTGACCCGAGGCCCCGCTGTTCAGGGGGCACCCAGGACCCCCACCCCCCCTGGCTGCCCAGACCCCAAGGCCCGCTGCATGGGGCCGGCGGTAGCCCACGGTAGGGCAGCCTGGAGCCCGTGGCCTTTCGCACACAGCTGAGCTGGGCCACAGCTGTGTGCTAATTGGGCAACATGCGGCCTGCGGGCCCTGGGTTGAGAACTGCTGAGTTAGAGCTAGTAACAGATTAGGAGACAAACTTGCAGTTTCCTATTCACAGTTGTGATGAAATGGGGTGGGGGAGTTAGTCACCAAAATCAAGAGATCTTCTGCGATCCAGAGAGATCTGGTACCTCTTTATAAATGATACCCTTCCCCTTGCAGCACAGTTCTTTTAGAAAACATACAGATACTTGCTGATTTCCACCACCGCTGTGCAGCAGCAGCTGTGAAGGGGACTCTGGGGTTCTAATGCTGCTTGGAGAACTATTAACTATTGATTGGATTTCTGATGGGAAATCCTTGGGGTCAGCAGGGGAGTGTGCCCAGGTGAGTGGCTGATCCCCTGTCTATCCCCCCCCCCCCCCATACTGTGGAAGGGCAACCCCACAGGGTTCTAGTGCTGGAAATCTGTGTAGTTTCAAGGAGAAAGGCAATGTTCTGCAGAGCTAGCTCTCTTCCGCACTCTGCACTGGTTTTGAACTCGCCTCCTCTCATGGAAGTAGATGGGTAATGTTGACCAATATGATCAACAGGCATTTTCATTTACTCAGAAAAAAAATTGGAGGTGGGAGGGAGGAAGGACCGTAAATCCACCTTCATTAACCCTGTGTTTCAGCAAGTTACATCTTCATACCAGAAACAATTGTATCCCTTTTTTTTCCAGTCCAGTATTGGTTTGTAATGAAAATTTCTTTATTTCCTTTAAAAAATGTTAAATTTATCATAAAAACAAAATTTAAAGTGAAAGCAAAATTTCACCTTCCTCATTAATCTGTAGATTTTAGTGAAATCAAGTATTGCTGAACTAACTACAATGTTTGTTATTTATACCCCTCAATCCTAAATACATATAAAGCCCAATTCTACATGTGCTTAAAGCTAAATATTTGTGTAAGTCTTTCCAAGATCAAGGGCTTGTTCAGTCATTTGAAATCAGCAAGCACTTGGGTATATTGATTTTTAAACAATTCGGTGTCCCCATGCTTTGTTCAAAGAAGAAAATGTAAAACTAGTGAGTTAATTTTGCTTGTTTCTTTGTTTGTTTTCAGTCGGGCCTAACTCCAATCCATGTTGCTGCCTTCATGGGACATGTAAATATTGTGTCACAGCTGATGCATCACGGAGCATCACCCAACACCACCAATGTGGTGAGCAATGGCTTTCTTCTCAGTAGCATGGAAACACATTTTTAATGAAGTAGAATCTCTGATACTGGTATTTATTTAAGGGTACAATACTGAAAGGTGTTGAACACCTCTTGAGAGGTGGTCAGCACTCATAGCTCCTGCAGAACTCAGTGGGAGTTGTGAGAGCTGAGGATCACTCAAGGTTTACAAGATCCTGAGAAAGTTTTGCTTTAGGCCTGATCTGCACTTAAAATTTAGATTGACCTAGTTATCACTGCTGAGAGCCGTAGGTTAGCTGACCTGGTGTAGATGGAGGTAGGGGAACAGAAGAATTCTTCCATCACCCTAGCTTCCACACTGTGGGGAGATGGATTACCTACGCTGACTGACAAACCCCTTCCGTTGAGGTAGGAAGCATCTACACTCTGGCACTACAGCAGCATAGCTCTGGCATTGTAGCTGTAGTGTCCTGAATGTAGACAGCCTTAGTTTTATCCTTAACTGATTATATTCATCTACTTATTTGCTAACCTAAAGAATGAGAACTCACTCACTATAGCTTAACCTAGCACATCTAATTTTTGAGAAGTGCACTTGACTGCTTGAGCGCTGCTCCTCCAGAACACCAGAGGCCTTACCATTTAAGGCAAGTTCTGTTTTTGTCAACAGATTGCAGCAGATTGTCAGGACATATTGCATGTGTCCATACAGCCATTCAAGTGCACTTTTACTGGAGGAGCGCTTGTGCCCCGAGGGTCCCAGGGAAGTGGTGTTTAGGTGTGTACTTGACCAACTACACTCATTGCTTTAGGAAAAAAGAAGGATGCAAATTTACAATTTGGCATGAAAGTCTCTCTTCAAAACAGAGAGATGGACACTGTCGGAAGAGAGCACCGTATATATAGATGGTTTGTTCTGTAAACAATATTAAATTATGCACACATGCAGCACCATCTGTAACTTAGGCAGCATTTGAATTAAAAGATCCAGTGAAGTACAAAAATCAAGAAAACAATTTCCCTCTTGAAATCATTCTGGTTTCCTTGGATATGCATCTTTTGTTAAGCCTTGGATTTATGTACTTAGTAATGATTTTTTTGTGTTCACTCAACTGAGTGCTTGTCAGATCACAACAGACATTTGGGTCATAGGGCATAACAGCAGGGATGTAGAGGAAAATCAGCACATCTAAATACATAAAATTTGCAGTCATTCTAAATGTTTGACCAACTGAGTGGTCATTTAATTTGACATCATTTTATCATTGTAAATAGACTACAAGTGAGCAAGAGCTTTGTTTTCTTTTCAACAAAAGAAGAGAACAGTAATGTACTATCCTATTAGCAGACCGATGCTGGAATAAATTAATTCCCAAAATACTGCTCTAGAGGTCAAATATTGATTTGCTTCCCCATCCTGCTCACAAACTACTCCTTAAAAAATAATAATAATAATAATAATAAAAATCATGTAGTGATTATTTTAAATTGGGTCATGAGGTTTTTTTTACTGATTAAACGTTTGTTTTTTTACTGAATCTTTGACTATGTTTTGCTTTCACCACTACATGTTAGAGAGGAGAAACAGCACTACATATGGCTGCCAGAGCTGGCCAAGCAGAAGTTGTTCGATACCTAGTACAAAACGGAGCTCAGGTAGAAGCCAAAGCTAAGGTAAGGTGATATTCCACGTATAATAAATAAAGGGTAAACTTAGCAAAGCTAGGAAGTTTTGCAAATTAAAGTGAAACATTTTCTTCCCAGCCTCTGGGGAGGGAGCAAGGAAGTCAACCCATGTGGTGTTCTTTATATTTTGGTAATGATCTTTTTGTTTCTATTTGGTGCTCAGATACTATGGTGAGTGCACTACAAATGTATAGATAAGGCAGACAGTGTCAAGCTAGTACCAATGGTCATTTTCCCCCTCAGTTTTACTGGATGAGGGGAAATTGTTTTTATTATGTGCAAAACTATCATCCCTGTGCCATAGGCATCTGCTGTCATTTCACAAAGCTTCGCTCTGTGTACATTCAAAAAATAAGTATACTTTGAAAGAGTGCTTCACAAAGAACCCCATACAGTGCTGGCATCTCTGGAACACCTACAAGTCAGATGTAGTAGCCTTGCAGAGTGGAAAGCAATGAGGGTTGGACTGCCATGTCACAGTCAGGCAAAAAGTACAGTGATTTCACAGCAATAATAATTTATCTGTAGGAATTTCTCCATAACAGATCAGGTATTAAGGAGTGGGTGATTGAAGTAGGATGTCTCAATTGGAATAAGGTGCTGTCACCAAAGAATGGAGAATTAGGTAACTGTGAGTTGTTCTTAGTCTCTTTGTGGGGAGGAAGAAGGGGAGATGGTGTGACATGGTATGATGGTTTGTTGAAGACAACTGAGATTGCTTGGAACCAAGATTGTGCAATGTGGAAGTGTAGGAAAATGTCAGTACATAATTTACAGAAACTACTAATGAAAGAAGGTGAAATTATCTGGTAGGCACATAGTACAGGGTCACAGACTACACTCTGGTGACTCTATCTATTTGTCTTCGCTGAAAGTAATCTATGAGGCTCTTTTCAGAGCAACCACCTAGGTCTTAATACAGTGACATTGCTGTTCAGTAATTTCAGATCTCTATAAAAGAACATGGATTTCAGTGCCACATAATTTTTGCATTATTCTGTTTAAAAAAAAATTGAACATAACCAAGTATAATGGGCACCCTTACATTTATTTAAACAGATTTGAAACTTTTTACCAGTTTTTCTGGAATTCCCCATTATTGAGACAGAGACTATGAAAGGAATTGCTCACTTCTAAATAAACATAAAAGATGTGTTTTAATACATAAAATGAGGAAATTAAGTGCCAAGGATTCTCACTCCATCCCAAATGCCTTCTGGTGTGATTAGATATTGCAGGAGGTTGTAGAACAGGACTAGATTTGTAAAGGTATTTAGGTGCATAGTGGGGTTTTCAAAAGCATCTAGGAGCCAAAAACTCATTGATTTCAATGGGTGTTCGATGCCAAGATGCTTTCAAAAATCCCACCAAGTGCCTAAATAACTCTCTAAATCGGGTCAAGGGACAGATCTAAATCCACTGTAGCTTTGATGAGGCCCTTAGTGCAATATGGCCTGCAATATAATTTCATGGTAAAATGATGCAATGCAGGGACAGATTGAGAAACTTGAATACTTTATTTTCTGTTCTTGATAACATTGTGTGGGGGGGACATTTTCTATAACAAAGCACTTTCAGACATCCCTTAATCATATGACAGAGAGGAAAAACAGCATTAATAGTTTTAGCCTTGATAGAATTAATAGTCATTTACAATTGCATAACAGCATCTCAGCAAATAATGTCCTTATGCAGATTGTCCTGTATTCCTGTCATCTTTATATTTAGGATGACCAAACGCCACTACACATTTCTGCCCGATTGGGAAAAGCTGATATAGTGCAGCAGTTGTTACAGCAAGGAGCATCTCCAAATGCAGCCACTACTTCTGGGTATACACCACTACATCTTGCTGCTCGAGAGGGACATGAAGATGTAGCCTCAGTTCTTTTGGATCATGGTGCATCTTTATCTATAATTACAAAGGTAAGGGAGTTGTAGAAGTGATTGCTTGAATGCTTTAAAAGGTTTTGTAATAGTTGCCAGTGAATTAGGTGCAGGATTCACATGTGCATACCAAGTGACATAGGAATTAACCACATTCTATTATCTAGGAGGATAACATGTTTTCACTTCTATGCTTGATTTATAACACAGTCTCGTGATAAAAACATATTGATTTTTTTAGTGTCATGGATCAGTTGTTCTCATGGATATCTATAATCTGCTTTGATAGACTTGTCTAATGTTTAAAGGCTAAACTCAGCACATTTGTCTACCAATGCCTATCGTGTGTGATGAACATTGGCTGGCAGAAGTGCAACATGAACTCCAGAGATGGAATACTAATTTCTAGGTTGTTTACATAAGATAGAAACATTTCTACTCTTCCAAATGACAAAATGTCTGCCCTTTTCCAGGCAACCTATGATCATGATTCCATTTGGGCGTATATTGATTTCATAGTGAAAGGAGTGCACAGCTGAAATTTTCACCAAGTGGCGTAGATATGAGTGGTTCCAAAACCATGTCTGGGGCCCCTGTTGACCCGTGGAGCACTTGCTGGTAGTCAATGGAAAGCTGCTCTGATTACATAGTTGGTTGCTGCTCCTTGTTTTCAGCTGCTTCAATGGGTGTCTGGGCTTTTCCCTGCAAAGAAGAACCTCCAGGCCCATGAAGGCATTTGGAAATAAACAAGAGACAGACTAGCTGCACCTACTATGGTTCACAGCTATGTAAGAGAAGGAAAGGAGTAACGTGATAGGCCAGAGCCACCTGTGTTACTGGAATTGCCAGACACATCTGGGAGAGGAATGTCCAAGGTCATCATGTAGCCTTTTTCTCTTACAGAAAGGGTTTACTCCTCTGCATGTAGCTGCAAAATATGGAAAAATTGAAGTAGCCAACCTTCTGCTTCAGAAGAATGCATCTCCAGATGCTGCTGGAAAGGTAGGACAGAAAAGGCCAACTTTCATGTACATACCCATGTACCATAATACCACAGCAGCTATTTACTATCACACAAGCACTTGCTAATATCCACTACCAAAATTTTGGATTTAATTGAAATCTTCTGTTCATCATCATGTAGCTATATCCCAGTAAGGTCAGCAATCCCATGAGAAATGGATTTTAACATCATTAAGGGCAATACTGTCACTTCTTTCATGTGTCCACCCAGGGAAATAAGAAAGTGCAAAGCGCTTCTTGTCTCCCCTGCTCAGCCAGAGCACAGGGAAGAGATCAGGGGGACAGGACTCTGCTCTCCCATCCCCCACACTGGTGAGCAGGGAACGGGAAGAGCCAAGGCTTCGCAATATGACAGTGCTGAGCCAGCATGGACAGGAAAATGGAATGGATCAATGGTGGTTTACTTACACCCTGGGGCAAAGGGAAACTAGGACAGGAGCTATGATTCAAATTCCCAATTCCTTTCCTGGTCTGCTCCTGGGGCAGTCAGATATGTTCTTCCCCATCCCTCTGACCCTGGGCAAAGTCACGATCTCACCCTAAATAAGCGTGTGAGCAGGGTGTTCACAGACAAGGAACAGCTTTAGTCTGTTCTAATGTGTGTTGTCTCAAAAGTTCATGGAGAATTTGGAGACAGAAATAAATAATATCACTGTGTTCTCACCGTATCTAATTTAACCTAATTCTCTGCACTCCTGTGTTTTCACTGATGGTAGTTATAACAATGCTTGTTTGTTCTGCATGTGTTTTTAGAGTGGTTTAACTCCACTCCACGTAGCTGCACACTACGATAATCAGAAAGTGGCACTTCTGCTCTTGGACCAGGGAGCTTCACCTCACGCATCTGCAAAGGTACAAACGTTGGTCAATGTAAGGGAACAGCAGACATGCTTTTGATATTGTTTTTTCCCATTATCTCAGCATTATTCATTATGGCTTCCAGTTACAGTGCGCCCTGTTGACCCTATTCATTAATGTCTTTCATCCACATAAGGATCTGTAGGCTCGTAGAATGACTCAGTGGAGGGGGAAAGAGTGGCAACCAACAAGTTCTTTTCCCCCAAAGGATAGGGTTTATAACAAGGAAGTAGAATTAGTTAACAAAATAGAACCCTCAACCCCACCCAGCTTGGGTTTTAATCAGGTACCAGGACCACTGAGTATGGAGCCCATCCTGCCTCCCGCTGGGCATTCTCCCTAACACTGTCTCACATGCAACCACCTTTATATCCCTTCCCCTTAGCATCTGTGCTAAGGTAGGTGGGGGGAAATGATCTGGGGTTAACTCCCTGTTCAGCGGACACCAGGTAATAGCCCTGCACTTTGTCACAGCATCCTTTTAGGAAAAAAGATTAGGGTGAGATTTGTCAGTTTGAGCATTAGTATTCTTCATAAGCATTTCTGTAGCACAGCAAATGGATCTCATTACAGTATTTAGAAATAGAAAAATATAGCCCTGAACAGATTGCAATTTAATGTAGACAAGACAAAGCAAAACACAGCACAAGAATTCAGGTTGGCGGGGAGCACCGGGGGCGGGGGAGGATAGGGGTGATATAGAGAGAGCAACATCTGCATGAATGAGCCTAAAAATATTGGTGTATGAATATAAAACTTAAAAAGGGGTGTGGGAAGTCCAATGTGCCTGAATCCGTGATGGACTCTTCTGAATGTCCCGCAGCATCCCTTGGACTCAGAAAGCCCAGGGTAATGCAGTTTTCTACATCTGCCATTTATAACCAGTGTGTCAACATCAGTAAAATAAAACAGGCCTGAAGCATGTTTGGATACTATGGTGATGGGTATAGTCCTAAACAGCATCCCAACAACAAATATTGAAGATGAAGATTGTGTGCAGAGGCCAAAATCGTATATGCACAAACTACACCTCTTGATTGTCTTCCTCTGCAGTGGGACCAAATGCAGACATGACACACAAAGACTTTCTGCATGTCTAAAGAGAAGCCAGATCACAGGGGGAAATGTAGTCTCTTATACATCGTATTTCATTGACATCAGGTGGCACCTCTCACATGCCCCCTCATAGCCTCAAGGTGGCCCTGCAAGGAGCCCCCTGCCTCAGTTTTACCTTTAAGGGGCTTCTTCAGTAATGCACACAACAGAACAGTTTTGCAGGCCCTTCAGCCAGGATTCTATTTATTTTCCAAGAAACACAAACCAGAAAGAAAACAACAACATAAAGCAAGTCCCAGATTTCTCTGCTGGAGCCTGCTTGCTCGCAGCAGCCTTTGTACTCCATTCTGATCTGTCTGAGCGTGAGCACACACACAAACACACTGTCCTCTCTACAGCTTCCTACCCTCCTCTATAGGGGAATCAGCTGGTCCCTGCTCAGGTGTTCCTCCGGAGTAACCAGGGTTGGCTGGCCGTTTGTCCCTTAAGGGCCAAGACACCTTGTTCAGTCACATAATGTGAAGTGCATGATGGAAGTAAAGTTAAATAAACAAAGTAACAATGGTAAAGCCAAAAATCAGTAACTCCTATAGGGATGTACCAACACAATGCCCCAGGAAGTGAACTGGGGTGATCTCTGATCTTTTTCCATCCCAGCACAGTGATTTTAAATGCAGCAGTGAAAGAAACGTCCTTCTGCAGGTGACTAGAAATTACTGACCTAGTTTTTGCTGAAAGAAACAAAACTGTCGTAGAGAATGGCTCTCCCACATGGTCACGAACTGTGGCTTCACCAAATGCCAATAGCTTCTGAAGCCCAAACCAAAATGATAAAATTACAGTATAAAGATAACTAGAGTCTCATATTAGGTCACCTCAATCACACATCTGTAACCAAATGGGTTAGCAGCTGCCACTTGTGGTTTTTGGTGCTAGCTGTCAGGCTTCTTAAAACACAACATTTGTTAGTATTTTACAGCAAGTGAACCACAGCAATACACTGAGTTGAGCATAAATACTAACTGAAATTAACAATAGCATGCTTATGGCCTTAGGCGATATGCTGTGCAGTCAACTAATAGATGATGTGATCATGGGGCAGATGAACTCCCATTCCTTTTGTAAATTCAGTCTGATAAATAAATGTGTAATGTCGTATAGATCATCATTAGCAACACAATCAGCTTCTTCAACAATTGTTTTAGCCCTGCTGTACCTCTTTAATATTGACCTTTTGACTGTCCCATCAGACTGGCATTACAATATTCACTTCAAAAAGTGATCTGTGAAAGAGGGAATTAACTGATTAGTTGTAGTCCCAGACCCCAGGTGCAACTAAAAACTGGGATGGACAGTTGCTTCTGACATTGCTGTATTTTGCTCTACGCCTGCTTCTTTTTACAGTGTTTATTCTGGGTCTTTGGTAGCAGCAGTTAATTTGAGTTCACTATTCATTTTGCAATCCTTCTCCTTAATTCTCTTCTCTAGTTTTCAGTTGCCATCTCTGTCTGTCTGTCCTTACGCTTGTCCCTTGTTTTTTCCTGTTACAGTCAGAATAATCAAAGTCTTCCCCCCAAACATCTCCCTTCCCCTGCAAGTCTATTTATTGTGGTAGAGTTGGGTCCTTATCATGAGGATAAGATGCAGATTGAGAGTGAGCTGAATTTTTACTTGGATGTTCAGCTCTCTATTTGCGTAATCTTGGCAACCTACAACTTTCAGTTTCACCGAGTAAAATACAGTTATGAACATACGAAGATGCATTTGCAAAAAAGTAATCTCTGCCTTTTTGCAAGATGTACAAAATGCACTGGTTTTCCTTCACATGTTAGAGGCTGGACTTATTTGTGAAGCTATTAGGCACATAACCAGATATATTTTTAGCTGTTCTATATGATTCTCTTGTGCTGAAAGTCCTTTTTACTCTTTTTAAGAATGTGAACTATTTTTCAAATGAAAATAGAATTTATTAACTCTGTACTTCCTTTTATTTATGTATTGCCTCTGTGTCAGAAGCTTGGCTGTAGGAGGCATGTAGCCAATGGCTAGGAATATGCACGCACTTTTGTGCTCGGTCCATAGCTAGACTCAGAAATGTTTTATGTTTGGCATCAGACTGAGCTGGATGTCCTTGATGGGGTTGGAGAGAAAGGAAACAGTTCTTTCTCTTTGGTCAGAAGGATTGTAAACTGTACCCAGCCAATATTTGATCTGAAGGCTAGTTGCCTTCAGGCGATAGTAATTGGCTTTCCACTCCCTCCTTGCTCAGTGGCGTTAGCTCACTAAAGTCAGAAAAATATATTTTTTTCACAGACAGTAGTTTTTGGTCCTACAGCTAGGAACCAAGTTCAAGACCCTGGTTTACATTCAGTTTAAACAAGGTCTCAGCTAAACCAGTGTCTAATACAGTTTTTACAACAGCCAGTGTAGAAAAGTTAAAACTGGTTTAGAACAGTGCTGAAAGTTTGTGTTCTATCATTGACCCTGTCTGTCTCTTTTCTGGGTTAATGCTAACAAAACACTGGTGTAACCATGCATGCCCCTGTGTGTTCTGTGTTCCGCTTGCACACAACAGTCAGGACCTTGGTTCCTGTGGAGTACTGCTTAGCTACCCCTGGAGGCACAAGCTCAAAGAGCGAATTCACCTCCAGAGGATATGCAGTTTTCAGCCACGAGAGGACTGACTCTGACCTGCTCATCAGGACAGGCAGTCTCATGCCCCTAGGAAGAGCTGAAGCTGTGAAGGGCAAATAGGTGGGATACAGGCAAAAATACAGGAGTTTAAAAATATATTTTTTTGTCTGTTACCTCAGCAGCACACAGCAGGAAGTGGAGTGGGTTTCATCAGAGTGTGGGAGGAAGGCATCTTATTTCCGTACTCAATGGACAGTTTCTGCCTTTGAGCATATCCCGCAATCACTTCCCTCAAGGAAATTATATGAGATCAGGAGATCTAGTGGGAATGGGGAAACAAGTCAAGCATTGGTGCCATTGAGTGAGAGTGTAGATTTTGTGGGTTTCTGGCAGTTGTTCTTCCACTGTGAAAGGGGAACAGGTTCTTCTCCTACCTGAAAAGGGGAGTTGGGTCCTATTTTGAGCTGAGTCCTATTTTAAGCTGGGTTTGTTTCCAAAGCTGGTAGGGGTTCAGGCCCATGTAGTTTGGAATATTCATGGTACTTGCTATATGGCTCCATCCAGCTGGAATCCCACTTCTTTAAAAGCGCGCTCTCTCTCGCTCGCTCTCACTCCTTCCCTCTCACACACATACACTTTTCCAATAGTTTTAAAATTAAGATTAACACACTATTTCTAGAAGACTAACAGGACCAGAAGCAATAAGCATCATTGTCAGTATCCAAAGGCTGGCCATGCCCCTGACCAGTGTGTTACACCTCCAAACAACAAGTGGTAGCTATGTCAGTGGGAGACACTCGTTTTTGTCGGTGAAACTTATTCTTGGTCAGGGGTGTGAAAAAACACACAAAAGTTTTGCCAACAAAAGTGCTAGTGTAGACAAAGCCTCACATCTATTGATTTAATAAATGCTTAAAGAAACTTAGGACTTGTCTTCATGAATAGTTAGTGCACAACAAGCTGGGATGTGAAAGTACATCACACTCGCACACAGCAATTAAACACCTGCAGCTGGCCTTGTCAGCTGACTCAGGCTTGGGCTGCAGGGCTGCTTAATTACCGGGTAGCTGCTCAGACTCCAGCCTAAGCCTGAACATCTACGCAGCAATTAAACAGCTGTGGAGCCTGAGCCCTGCAAGCCTGAGTCAGCTGACCCAGGCCAGCCACAGATGTTTAATTGTTGTGTAGACATACCCTTAGTGTCTGTGTGGACCCTGCTACATTGCACTAAAGGGTAACGTGCCTTGAAACTGCTAAACTTTTAGTACATGGTAGTAGTGTCCTCCCAGCCATTTAGTGTGCTGTATAACTAGCCATGTAGACAAGCCCTTTGTGTGTAAAACAACTTAAAGGTTTTCTGCTAAATCCTGTCCTTCCTTTTGAACTCTAAGATTATTCTGTATAGTTGAAATTGCATTGAGATACTCAGAGATGGACTGATTAGAAATACCTGGATGCACGGATTAGAAAGAAGGAAAGAGTTCAGGGATATGAAACCAGAAGTTCATATTGACGTATCCTTTTCTGGCCCAAAATAGGGTGTCTAAAACTGCCTTCCACCAAGATTAGGACAAACTTTGCAATAAAGTTTGTGTTAAAAGAAAGACTGACCCCAATTCATATATATAATACTCTGGTTCATACCGGGAAGTGAAGAAAACAAACACTAACAGCTGTTCTTAGTGACTAAACATGCACATGTATCTAATAGCGAATCCCATCCCTTTATACATTACAGAGATAATATGTACTTAGGCCTTTAAGGAAAAGTAGCAAATAACTATGAAAGGTGGCTCAAACGGTTATGAAGTCTTTGTTTGTAGATTGCACTGCTCTATATTAGGGCTACATTTTCCACATTTAGAAAGTGTCATTCAAATTTCTTTTAATTCTCTTATATACAGACATGATTTTAAAATAGTTATTAAAGTTTTGATGTGTCGCTTTTTAATATGGTCAAATTTTAAGCTCATTCATGTCAGGACTGAATTTTTAGAACTGATCATTTAGGATAATAAAATCAAGTATGTACAGAAAAGTAATTTACTGTGGTATTTCACAGATGAGCCTGTACTCAAATGTTTTATATTGACAGAATGGTTATACACCACTGCACATAGCTGCCAAGAAAAACCAGATGGATATAGCGACTACATTGCTTGAATATGGTGCTGATGCTAATGCTATTACCAGACAGGGTATTGCCCCTGTACATCTTGCATCCCAGGAAGGCCATGTGGACATGGTGTCATTGCTTCTTACTAGAAATGCTAATGTGAATCTTAGCAACAAGGTAAGTTTGCATTTATTTATTTATTTTTGCACTCAGGAAAAAAAAATATGGTGACTAGTAAGAAAAGGGGCTAACAAGTGAATTTTGCATCATCTGATTCTATGAGATTTGAAATTTACGTACTTTGACAAGTCAAACCAATCTAAGTACATTCTTTGATAATGTTACCAGCCCGGTGGATGGGGGGAACTGTAGATGTGATACATCTTGGTTTTAGTAAGGCTTTTGACAGTCCCACATGACATTTTCAGTAGCAAACTAGGGAAATAAAGTCTAGACGAAATTACAGTAAGTTGGGTACAAAACTGGTTGACAGACAGTACTCAAAGAGTAGTTATCAATGGTTCACTGTCAAACTGAGGGGATGTATCTAATGGGGGTCAGCATGGGTCTGTCTTGAGTCTTGTATTATTCAATATTTTCATTAGTGACTTAAATAACAAAGTGGAGAATATGCTTATGAAATTTGCGGATGACACCAAGCCGGGGGAGGGGGGTTTGAGGACAGAAGAAAACAAATTCAAAAACTGAATTTGACAAACTAGAGAATTGGGCTGTCATCAACAAGATGACATTCAGTAAAGACATGTGAAAAGTACTACCCTTAGGAAGAAAAAATCAAATGCACAACTACAAAATGGGGAATAACTGTTAGGTGGTTCATAGTGGGTCACAAATTGAATATGAGTCAACAATGTGATGCAGTTGCAAAAAAGGCTAATATAATTTTGGGGTGTATTAGCAGGAATGTCATAGACATGGGACATGGGAGGTAAGACATGGGAGGTAATTGTCCACCTCTACTCAGCTCTGGTGAGGCCTCAGCTGGAGTACTGTGTCCAGCTCTAGGCCCCACTCTTTAGGAATTGTGTGGACTAAGTGGAGAGTCCGGAGGACAGCAACAAAAAAAACAAAAGGTTTAGAAAACCCAACCTTAAGAGGAAAAATTTTAAAAAATGGGTACATTTAGTCTTGAGAAAGGAAGAGAGAGGGGGGAACTGATAACTGCTTCAAATATATAAAGGGCTGTAATAAAGAGGATGGTGAGCAATTGTTCTCCATGTGCACTGAAGGCAGGACAAGAAGCAACTGGCTTAATGTGGTGCAAGGGAGATTTGGGTTAGATATTAGGAAAAACTTTGTAACTATAAGGATGGTTAATAGCTTACCAAGTGGAATAGCTTACCAAGGTAGGTTGTGGAATCTCCATCATTGGGGAGGTTTTGAAGAATAGGTTGGACAAACACTTGTCATGGGGAGTCTAAGCTGACTTAGTCCTCCCTCAGTGCCGGGGGCTGGACTAGATGTCTTGAGGTCCCTTCCAGCTCTACATTTCTGTGATTCTATGAAAAGCACACAGGTGTTTGAATTTGTCATCATTCCTTCTAGCAGAAAATAGAACATAGTAGCTGCAATATTAGATCAGACCAATTGTCCATTTTTCTGGTATCCTGTCTTTGACATTCTCCAGTACCAGATGCTTCATATGAATATGTAAACCCTCCCCGTCTCCCCCATAATGGACAATTCTGTTGTAACATGCCTATTGGGGAAGTTTCTTCTTGACTCCAGGTTATTAGTGGGCTTGGCTCCCGCCATTTTATCAGATCTCTACATGTGCCTCCCATTAAGCAGTAGTAGCACCTAACTTTGTCAAGAGAAGCTGATTTTTTTATGGGCTATCAGCAGTATGGTTGTCTGAGATTTTGTTCTTAATGTAAGCGATTCCACTTCCCACGGGGCATTCCATTATAGCACTGCGACTTTCCACATGCTTTCTCCTGGGAATTGGAAAGGAAGTGAACTGATTTTCTGTTTATAATCTGCCAAAGGGTTTACAGTCTGTGAAGTCTATTCAGTGATAATGTCTAAAGTAAATTTGCATCCCTAATTCCCTAGATGCCCTCATCTCCATCAGTATAATTGTACAGTGCGGTTTCTGTATGAATTTATCTGACAAGACTAGGAAGATGAGAGTGAGAAATTTCTCACAAAAATCGTTCCTTGCTTTCGGCAGGTGGAATGGCTCAGTGTCCTCTGAGTCTCTGGGTGGGCTTCATATGACACTTGGAAGCCTATGCTTCATTTCTCCTATTCTAACCTTAAAACTATTCATGGTCCTTCATTAGCATCTGTGGCTACCACTAAATACAGATGCTGGCTTTTATGTGGTGACAGACTGTACCTAAAAATAACACCTTGTACCCTCATATTCACCACTTGTAAATGGTTATGATATATTTTGTACAAAGTATGCCTTGTGAGGTATCGTTTGAAAAGTCATAATCTGTTACGTATTACTGTCCTGGTAACGTGTGTACTATCATAATATATGGAGTTATGAGATTTTGCTGTATGTTTGTTACTGAAACACATGAATCTGGGGAATGTCCACAGACTAGCTCTTTAGAAATAACAAGAACTATAAACAAAGAACTGTCCCCTCAAGCTGCACGTATACAGAAGGTGCAAGCAAGAATTTGCAATTCATGTGAAGGACTGAGTGCAGAGCACATAGGCAATGGGGCTGCCTGACCCCATGACACAGCAAGAACTTTTTCAATAAAAAGAGTCAACATATAAAAAGGGGGAACAAAGGCCCCTGGCCACCTCTCTTCCCCCACGTATACTGAAGGCATCAAGATTGTTTGGAGGACAGAAACATCACTGAACTGGAGGGAGGGATCCTAACTGGAAAACTTTCCAGTTAGTACAGACTGCTGTTAGCTTTTGGGTAAGAGAAACCTTATTCCTTCACGTTTGACTTAGCTTGGTAAAGTTTAGGAATTAGACTGGAATTTTATCATTTTATTTCTTTTTGTAACCAATTCTGACCTTTTATGCCTATACCAGTTATTATCAATGAAAATCTGTCTTTCTGTAGTTAATAAACTTATTTTGATGTTTTATCTAAGCCAGTGTGTTTTTGGCTGAAGGGCTTGGGGAATCTACTCAGGTTAACAAGGCCTGGTGCATATTCATTTTCTTTGCTAAAATGACAGAATTTATGAGCTTGTATTGCTTAATAAGTTACTGAGCAGTACAAAACGGTACATGTCTGAGTTGCAAGGCTGGGACTGGGGATATGCAGGTGTCACCCTGTATGTAATTCAAGAGTGGCTGGGCATAGCATTCTGGTATTTGTCTGGGGGTGACTTGCATGCTAGGGGCTGGGGTGACTGGGCGGAGTGGCAGCTTATACAGCAAAGCAGGGCCTAGTGCACACCAGGCTGGAGAGTTAAGGGGGCACAATGATCCACCAGTTCAGACTGTATTCTGGGGCATGTCACATTGGCGCAGCGAACAGGGTGAAATGCACAGCCTGCTGTACTGAGTGAGATTTGCACTTCATACACTGGTGTAGTGATTTTAAGTGAGACTTTGTGTGGTGGCTGAATACAACCAAGAAAAGATTACACTTTTGTTATTTTTTATTTGATTATTTCGGGAAAAGGAAATAAGAGCAGAAAAAGCATAAATATGAGAGCGAGCGAAGCAGTTACAAAGTTAGAGCTGTACCGATTGCAGGTAGCAGAAAAAGAGAGAGAACATCAGAGAACCTTGGAGCTAAAGCAACTGGAGGCGGAAGCTCATCAATGAGCCGTGAAAGAGAAGGAAATAACAGCTGCCATAGAACAGCACATCAATGTGCCTTGGAACTGAAAAAACAAGAAGCCTATTTACACATTCATTTTCATATATAAGAGAACACTGTAAATAGCAGGATTTAAATCTGAGTGAGTGAGTGTTACTCCTAGCAAACTGGCAGGAATGTAAACAATTGTTTGATGTTTCTTTTAATCTCATTCATATCAGGAGAGTGAAATAGCCAGGAGAAAATAACCTTGAGCTTTTGTGTTAAAAACCTGTAGTGTAATATCTGCTCCATATTTATTACATAATGTTCCTTGTTTAACTGCTGTACCTTGTATAGGAAACATTAGCTCGCTGTGTATTTTATGCTTTTAAATTGCAGTGTCTCGTAATTGAGCAAATTTAAACAGTAAACAGATAGACAAATTCTGCCCTCATTAACAAGCTGCAACCTCATTAAGATCAGTAAAAAGAAAAGGAGTACTTGTGGCACCTTGCTGTAGCTCACGAAAGCTTATGCTCAAATAAATTTGTTAGTCTCTAAAGTGCCACAAGTACTCCTTTTCTTTTTGCGGATACAGACTAACACGGCTGCTACTCTGAAACCTGTAATTAAGATCAGTGCAATTGTATAAGTGTTGAAGAATTTGGCTCATAATGTTGGCTCATAATGTTAATATGTCTCCTCTGCAAGATGATCATTTGTTGCCCCTAATTTACAGAGTGGACTGACACCACTTCACCTGGCTGCTCAAGAGGACAAAGTCAATGTGGCAGAGGTTCTTGTTAATCAAGGGGCTGTTGTTGATGCAGCAACAAAGGTAAGATTAATCAACACTAACTAATGTGTAAATATACCTGAAGAAAAAAATAGAGAAAATACATTCCACCCGCCTAACGGAAGTGTTTAAAGTCTGTGAGTCCGATTCACCACTACAATAGTCCAGGTTTATACTAGTGTAACTGCAGTGATATCAGTGGACTTACATTGGCATGAAACTGAAGTAACAGTGGTGAATCAGCCCCTGTGAATAACCAGCTAGAAAATATACTTAATATATTCAATGTTATCCAACTTTCCTTTACATGGAAAGGACTGTCTGTGGACAGTATATTTATTTTAGCAATCTTGTTTGATGTTTGGATCAGTTTTGATTTAATTCCATTATATTATTGTGTTTTGACTGAAGAAAGTAGGCATCCAGTAGGACTGGACTGCATTCTTCATTTAAGCAAACTTTCATAAATGCCAGAGCTTCCACTATCTTGTTTTTCACCGTGTAATACTGTCCCTTAGCACCCATTAGAGTTCTTTGGTACGTACTACACGTACTCACTCCTGCTCTATCCAACCAGCATTTGAAAAAATAACAACAAAATGGTTATTTAAAGTGTCTTGGGTATCACTGTAAAAACACTCTTTCAGGAGAGCTGTGTTTCAAGCAACATAAACAAAGTAAAAACAAATTAGGCATTCCGGATTATTAGAAATGTTGTGTCCCTTATCATGAGTTCTTGTAAAGAGTAATAGACAGTCAGCAATGCAACCAAAGTCTTCCGCTTATCCTGAGCTAAATACTGAATAATGTAACCTTCCATAAACTATTCTTTGAGTGTTACCAACACTGGCCAGCTGTAGGATGACTCAGTGTTCATGTTTGCACACTTCTGAATTTCTTAGTAGACACTTCCTTTTGCCAAATTATAGCATAGTGAGCTATTTAATGATACAGGCAACTATCTTCTAGGAAACAGAATTGACATCATCAAACTAATTTTGTCCAGCATCCAAAATTCAGATTTGAGCTGGATTCTCATAAAGGAAACATAAGCATACTAAACACTGAGTTGTTCTACCGTACTAATAAAAAGTTTGATTGGAAATTAAATGTATGGTGGCAGGAAATGCTGTGATAATTTATCCTTGTGTATACATCTCTTTGACTTTTATCTAATATAAAATACATACATACAAAAGGCCAAAAATGTCAAACTTGGAAAAGTTTGACACCTAATTCCATATTTAAGCTTCTAAATAAAAGCAGCCTGATTTCCAGAAGTGCCGAGTTCTTACAACTCTCTTAATTTGGAAGGCCACTTTTACTTAGGAGCCTAAATAGGTTGCGAAATCTTAGTCAATCAAACTTGACATTTTTGGCCTAAGCTCCTAAATACAGAAATACAGTAAGGACTGGATTGCGCCTTGACTTGAGAGAGAGTTCAAGGAGCCACCCTTCCTGGCACATCATCTCCAATATGGCGCTGTGGGCTAAAGCCACAATTGAATGCATAGAGTTCTATCTGCATGTGTTGTTTACGCACACTAATGGTATCTATAAGTGACAGTATTATTATAATAATAATTAGCATTTATAGAATGTTCTTCATATTTGAAGCTTATCTAATTCTCAGAGCAGCTCTGTTAGGTAGATAAATCGGGATAATTCCACCTTAAATCAACCCTGATCAAGGCCTTGGGCTGTAGCTAAGGCTAAATCAGTACTAGTTCCTTTATTCTGAAGTCTCTATGAAGGCAGAATGGAACAAATTGCCCCCATAATCTGACCTGCATTACTTTGTGCAAGATCCAGAATAGAAGCTATAGCTGTTCTAAGGTCACTAGTTATTGTGAGGCCAATCCTGCTACCTAAACCGACATTCTAACATTGTATGAGTAGTAATGGAACAGTACACCCCAGCTTACCAGTTACGCCACATCACTGCTCTGCTTAACACACAGCACTCAGATAAGTATATAGTGAGAAGAAGTAAATCTTTAAGAAAGTATAGATATTCAAGTGACAGAAAATTGAAATATTGGAAACAAATGGTTATACTTAAAAGAAAAACATAACGTGTTCAAGAATCTGGACTTACTTAACTAGTTTTTGTCACATCTTATAGAGTAAGAGCTCACCCAGAATCCTTCCATCACATGCTTGGCTGTGATCTTCCCTTCATAAGACAAGTCACACTGTCAGCTTGTCTCCTCAGTGGAAAAGATCTCATGTGTGTCTTCATACCCCCCACCCAGTTACATCCCACAATCCATTGTCTTTACTCATAATCAGGGTGTCCCCTTGGTGGTTGCTTTTTTCCTGTGTGCTTCTTTCCAGTTGATTTAAAAATCTCTTGATTAGCATTTGGCTTAGCCCGTAGATAGGCCTGCATTGTGAAGCGAACAATATGCAATGCACACACAACCATCCCAAGAGAGATAAGAGTCTCTTCCCTCTTACCTGACAGGGTCATGTTTATCACCTTCTAGTGACCTGCTTTAACTTAAGAGTATAATTTTCAGTTCAGATACATTATTCCTTAAATATTATCCATACATACATTTCACAATGATTATGATGACCTATGAGCTCTTGGTGGAGACCTTACATGCCTCTGGTAAACTTAATATGCATATACCTGACCTATAAAACTATAAACACCCCATGCACTCTCTGCCAGTTGGCACCAAGAGGTTCATGGGTCACAATTCCTACCAAATACGCTGTGATAGTGGGCAGGATCATGGCTACATGATCTACATGTGCCATGGCTATGACCGTCCCTGCACTGCCTTCCTTAGCCACTGGGCGATTGCTCTGTGAACCAATTGCTTCTGTTGTGGAATGTTCTCAGGCACCTGAGGTAATAGAGCATTCCATCATACATAGCACTACCGTGAGCTTGGGGACCCAGACTGGGCCAGACACCTGGATGGAATTCAGGTCAGCTTGTGGTGCAAAGGTTTTGAATCTGTCTATATGGAAACAAGATCAGGCATCTGCAATACAGCTAATACTGGGAACATGCCAGATGCAAAAGCAGATGTTAAGCTTCAGTCATTGCAGCATAAATGCCTGAACCAAAACCCTCTTTGTTTCAGGCAACCTGGTGATTAATGGTACACAGCATGGGTTCTTCATCTAGAACAGCAATTTAGTATCTATAAGCATTGGCGTGCCATTATCTTTTCAGTAAGGCATGCAATTCTGCACTTGCATGCGAGGCATGACATCGCACGTACAGTACATGCAAGGTCACTCTGTGTGCGACTGGTGTCTCCCCATACTGCGGGGCACCAGCTGAAGGAGAAGACACATGACCACCCCATCCCCAAATCCCCATCCCCGCCTCCTCCCCAGGGCATGCAGCATTCCCCCACCCATGGCTTCCTGCAGCTCCCCCCTCTCCCCCCGCAACCCACCACCCTAGCTCACCTCCGCTCTGCCTGCTCCCCTGAACACGCCGCCGCTCCGCTTCTCCCCCCTCCCTCTCAGGCGAGGGAGAGGCAGCGCATTCAGGCAGAGCAAGCGGAGCAGAGGTGAGCGAGGGGGGGAGCGCAGGAAGTAACGGGGGGGGTAGAGAAACCGCTCCCCGCCCCAGCTCACCTCCGCTCCACCACCGCCGCCTCCCCCCGAGTGCACCACTGCTCGGCTTCTCCTCCCTCCCTCCCAGGCTTGCCGCGCGAAACAGCTGTTTCACACGCGGCAAGCCTGGGAGGGAGCGGGGAGAAGTGGAGCAGCGGCGGCGCGCTCAGGGGAGCAGGCGGAGGCGGAGCGGAGGCGAGCTGGGGTGGCGGGGGCACATTTCTAGGGGCGGCATGGCCGGCACCATGGCCGGCGCCGGAATGTCGCCCCTAGAAGTGTGCCGCCCCAAGCACCTGCTTGTTTTACTGAGGCCTAGAGCCGGCCCTGATTTGTGCAACATGGTGATAAATCAGGTCCACAGTCTGCAGCCACTACTTAACAGGTGAAACTCTATTCAACTATCTATGAGATGCCCAGCAGCAGCTTCACTTTCCCTGGTCATTCGCTGCACCAGATCCCTCAAGGGGCTCACTTTGTCCTCTTGGAGATGGATCTCACCTAGTATTGAATCTTTCTGTAACCTGAACAGTAACCTCAGTAACGTTGGAGGACCTGCTGTCTTCACTTAATTAAAAGCAATGCCTAAACTGCACGCTAACCCCTAAACAGTACCTATGAATGTGTGCATTCCCCCCACCCCAATAGTCCTACAAATAGGAAGTAGTCTAAGTAGTGCACTGTCAGTGGGATCCCTGTCTGCCAATTCAATGGCCACTCCAGGGAGGACCTGAAATTCTTAACCACAGCACTGAAAATGAACCTGGTCAGTAGATAAAATTATCCAAAAGGAAAGCAAATTTATTTGAGCATAAGCTTTCGTGGGCTACAGGCCACTTCATCGGATGCATGCAGTGGAAAATACAGTGGGGAGATTTTATATACACAGAGAACATGATACAATGGGTGTTACCATACACACTGTAATGAGAGTGATCGGTAAGGTGAGCTATTACCAGCAGGAGAGGAAAAGGAAAAAAAAAAAAAAACCTTTTGTTGTGATAATCAAGATGGGCCATTTCCAGCAGTTGACAAGAACGTCTGAGGAACAGTTGGGGGCAGAGGGGAAATAAACATGGGGAAATAGTTTTACTTTGTGTAATGACCCATTCACTCCCAGTCTTTATTCAAGCCTAATTTAATGGTGTCCAGTTTGCAAATTAATTCCAATTCAGCAATCTGAGGACACCACTCTGCCAAAAAACACTTGCTGCAGCCACTGTTGTAGGAAGACGTGTGAGAATCTGTGTCCTCTATTTCATCATGGACCAGTTTCTGGAGAAACCCTGATGATCTAAGTTTATAATGAAAGACCTGACAAACTCTTTACTGCAGTAGGAAACAGCCTTCCCCCCCACCAGTAATAACTACCTGGCCCTTTCTCACTCAATTACAGAATCCATAGAGAGAAAGAATACTTAATATTTTATCGATTTCAGAGTAACAGCCGTGTTAGTCTG